ACATATACATATTCTTCTTGATTTACAGAAACTACTCTAAGAACTTAAAGCTTATCTGACCTTTTAGGAATGATGTGGTAGCCTAACTGCAGGTGCTAAGTGTCATGGTAGATGTTTGGCTTCCAGTTGCTGGCCCTGGTGGTGCAGGTCTCTGATGGCCCAGGTTTTGCAGGACCAGGTCTCTCCAGGTGTTCCTGGAGCACTCAGAATGTCACTATACGTTTATCTTCACCACTTGAACTGCAGTGCCTTCTCAAATCCGAATTCCCAGCGCCCAGCAGTACATGGGGCAAGAAAAATGCCATGCTAGTTTCTAGGCAGTTCTCATGAGCTTTTTACTATCTGCATAATTTTTGCTGCTTACAAGTGAGGGAGATTTCTTAAGAACATAAGGAAGTAACAGGCCTTAAAAGTGGGCCGAGTAAAACCATGTGGTATTGCAGAGGTACATATAAAGTAATACCGGCAGTTGTAAAAGGGGAAACAAAACAGGCATTGTTTGTTGTAAAAGGGGAAACTAAACATCAGCATGAGACTTTAGAGGCTGAAATCCTGATGCCCACATTTGCCACATTCTTCGTGCTGAACATGTCCCTTACCTCTCAGGAGCTGTTTGCCTAGAGCTTGTCATTTTCTCTCAGCTGGTGGAATAAAAGGTTTATTAGCTTTGTCTCATCAGCAGGCTAATGTAGTCACACAAGCTCTGGACAAGAGCAGGCATGCACTTTGCCAAGTCAGAGGGTAAGTCACTGGCCCAGAGATGGCCACAGGGTGAAACTGGCAGCTGATGGGACTGCAGCTACGTCAGGAAATGGCTCAATCTGCAGTGTGAAAGAAATCCATGGCTCTGAAAGGTCATCCCACACAAGCGGACACTCTGCCGTGACCTTCAGTTAGGCTAGGCTTTGTGTCAGCCACACTGAACAATGAGCAGAAATGGCACAACTGTGCTTGCACGCTTGCCAGGATTTCCTGTCTGCCAGCGGTCATTGCTTACTTAACCGTGAATTAAAACAACTGCCTTTTACCACTTTTTCCTGAATAGTGACAAAAATTATCCAGATGTATCCATTTTTAGTAAAACAGATTAACTGGTTGTACACGATCTTTTCCTACTTAATCTCTCATAGAAGATACAAAAATTATTTATGAAAAGTATGTAACATCCAAAATGAATTTAATTAATATGCTGTTAATAAAATTATACTGTTACTTATAGATTTTGCTATAGTAAAAATTATATTTATAATAAGAATTATTCAAGCAGATAAGCTCAGTGGGGGAAAAAAAGGACAAAATTCCTAGCATACAGGCTTTGGAAAGGCTTATCCCTTTTGTCCACAAAACATGACCCCATTAGTTCGTCTGATAAAAGTAATTCTTCCTTCTTCTTCCTTGGTTGCCTCTTTGATATCCTTCAACTGTTGGGGCAACAACATTATTGCAAATTACTATAAAATTACAGAATTTATACTTTTTATTTTATAACATTTAAGAATACACTCAGTATACTTGTTTAATTGGTGAATGCAGTTTAGAAGGGGGAAAATAATAATTTACATTTTTAAGCATCTTCTAATATAGAAAAGACATTGTCGGTGTGAAAATCTGTAGTGAATGGGAGATGGCTGAGAATGGAAGGAATGATCACACCACATGTAAGCATGTATGATCTGTTTCCATAGAAAAAGGTCAGAGAGCAACAAATTCTCAGTTTACTTCAGCTGGCTAGGGTAGTAAGTTTCTGGGGGGAAAGCATTAGCCCATTAGCATTAGCCCAGAGCAGCCTCTGGTGGTCTAAGAAAAAATGGTAATATTTATACCTAAGGATAGAAATATGTTTTTTAAAAGGATATATGTACATATTTAGCTATTTTACTCAATCCTCCTTTCAACACATTAAAAACCAGATGCTTTTAAAATGACCTGTCAATATGCTTGTTAAAATCTGAACAGTAAGAGTATTAAAATTCATATGCATTCATTAGCACATTATATAAAAGTAAAGTGCTTGTGTTTAATCATTCCATAAAAGTATTATAGTCAATGCTGATTAACAAAAAGTTTTTTTCCTGGTTTGCATTGCTAAAATTGAAATAAAATTTACAAGAATGTTACCGAATTGATGACATTTTCTGTCTTCACTTGTGAATTCAGTTGGCAGATGTTTTCAAGAACAAAAAAATCTGTCTTATTACAAAACATATTAAGCAGGTTTTCCTGCCATAATGCTTGACATGATGTTTATTACCCAGACCAAATCAGTTCCTTTAACAAGCCATAATGTATGACAGAAAGTACATTATTTCATAGTTAAGAAAACTTCCAGCATGAAACAGTAAGTACTTTGATCTTTCAAGAGCACTACGCTTAACACATTACATGCTGCCATAGTCGTTTTTATTTATACTCATTTTGTACAAAAATACAGTGCAGTTTGATATTTTGTATTTCAAGATGCAGCTTTTACATATTCTTGAATACCCCAGCTATTGTTTTTACTATGAAAATAAAGAAAATGCTTAAACACAATTACCAAGGAAGAGTTCTAATTCTCCAGTTCTTGGAAAATTTAGCTGCACAAGTGGGAGCAGCAACCAGACAGCTTTAATTTGTTCAAATGGCATTTCTTCATTAGATCACAACAGATCTCCACAACCCTATGAAAACAGAACTGAGGATATTTATTCCTGCTGCTTAACAGTCTGAAGCAATTTCTCCAGCATATTTGATGCAATCATATTTTTCCTTCAGTGTGAGCCTTCCTGCGAGGAAATTTTTCTTCTAGTCTATCCATACTTTTTCCTGCTTGGCAAAGCTGACATAAGGCCCGCTTAGGTTTTTCAAAACTCTTTGATGAGATCATTACAAATCATATACCATCTTTAAATATCTCTCTGAGTGATAGCATGTTTTATTTTAAGGGCCTAGTGAGTCAAATGTATGCTATACTATACAGTAAGATTGTATCTGAATTGCCCTTTGAGATCACCCCAAACCAGCAGCCTGCAGAAGCAAGACCCTGGGTGCAGGCAGAGAGCAATGTTATGGATTCAAGCATGGGAGGCAAGAAAATTGCAAATATGGCATTGCACCTCTTGCAACCACATACAGACTTAGCAGTTCTGACAACAGAGTAAATGGAACCTACTGATGGTCCAGGTTTTTTTCAGAAATTGATAAGCAAGGAAATTACATTGATTTGTCCTGCAATATGCTAAAGCAGTTATGTTTTTCTTTCTGTTTCAAAAAACTATCTGTATTGGAGCCTTCTAAGAAAAAAAAAAAAACCAAAATAATCATTTCAGAATAAAACACCATGCTCATCAGAAAATTTCAATTAATTGTCCTGAGGAAGGAGACCACCAACCACACTTTCACTAAAATATATACTACTTCTTTCCTTGATTTGAAGAAAATAAAATAAAGCAAACATCAACAGTCATATTTAAAGCATGAAGCTTAGCAGAAAAGAAAATGGGATGGAACAATATTTTATATTTCGGGGGTCAAGCCTCCTGAAACCAAATTTCATGCCTCATCAGGCAAGAGTCATGAGAAGGTAGAATTGCTAAAAAGATTATGAAAAAAAGGTTCACTTTCAACAAGGGAACACTGAACCTGCATTCTGACTAGACTTCTTTTAAGACAATACAGCAGCACTGTCAACTGGATTCTCATGGACCTTAAGTTAGGACTGGTTGCCCCTCTTAAGAAGGAGGTTTTGGATAGTGGGCAGAAGAGTATCTTATAAAAAAGCTGCAAACAGAAAACACGGAGCCTTGTTGGTGATTTTTAATATATGCATATATATATATATATATATATATATATATATGCATTTCTTTGTTTCCCATACTTAGGTATTTTTCAAAAGACAGTAAATATTTATGGTATTGACAATCTTGTACCCAAGTTACTAACCCATCTAACTAGCCAGAACAGTTATATTTCTTCTACAAAAAAATGTTATGCTAAGAAAAAAATTAAGAGGGGCATATTAAAATTTACGATGATTCTAACATGTATCTTGCTGGATTTTTCTCTGTTTCTCACCAGAATGACATACATTTTTATTGTTTTACCTTCACTGTGGAGTTTCTAACGTATTTTACTGTTGAATGAAAATGCTAACTTTCATAATAAGGGTTTTCGAAATTCTATGACTCAGTCTGGAATGTATAATGCATAGTATGTATATGAAGCAGAATGTGCCAATGTGCAAATAATATTGTTTGTGCCCCCTGCAGAATAAGAAATCCTCGGGTAGCACTGTTATAATGATCCCATGCTGGTAGCATTACAAAGTGCAAAGGTTCACTGAGTCAGAAAAGGGCAAGGGACAGAGTTTCTTCATCATACCATTCTCAAATTATACTAGCTTAAATATTTATTAATATATTAGCAAGTTTCCCCCTTTATCTGCCTTCAAAAGTTTAGCTCAAACACAATGGATGGCTGCTCATATAAAAACAACACATTACAGGGTAAATTTGCCACCACACAAGATGAACACTGTTATTTTCCACAATACATTATTAATTTGGCAGGTGATAAAAAAGTATCAGGCTGTAACTACTGCCTCCCCAATATAATACAATATAATACAATAAATGCATACATGACATGTGAAGCTAGTATGTCACCTAAGCTTCACTACAAAGTCTTTCTTATGAATACCTCTGTTTATAAAATGGTTTTTAGAAAGTCTTTCCTAAGTAATTTCTTTCTTGATAACACCAGTGAGTTCCTCTGGGATTTATTTGAAGTTTTCCTTTGAAATCAGAAAGAAATTTTTTATAACAGTTCCAAAACATCACAATCAATAATGGACCAAAAATACCAATAGGATAAATATCCAGGAACTCTACATAAACTCTTCAATGTCATCTCAGCAATGTATTTGTTTTTAACAAAGCATGGTATTTACTAGCCAATATAGTCAGTAAACATATATATGCATCAATAAAGATGGGCAAACAAAACCAAAAGAAACTTACTCTAATATAGATCTGCATAGTTTCTTTTTCTTTTTGCGGATTTCGATACTTTTCATAGAAGTCACGTCGCTTCTTTGTTTCCTTCTGTATTTTATCTTTTCTTTCTCTCTTTTCTGCAGGTTCATCTGAGATATCAGAAGACAGCTGTATTTGGGCTTTTGTCTTCTCAACTTCAATATAGTTCTCATTGGGATTCAGAACTATTACTCCATAGCCTTCCTGTTTTAGAAGAGAGTCACACACACACACAAACAAGAAGAAATGTGAAAAGGGAAATTTAATGCTCGAAAATGCTTTGCATTTACTTTAATGCTCTTTAGAACTTTTTTATTAATTTCAGCAACTTCACACAACATCATTTATAGAAGGATTTTTAAGAATAATCTGTCATTAAAGAGATATTGATGTGTGAATATGTATCTGTGCATGTACTTATGCTCATACACATCCTTCAGCATCAGAAAAGTTGCCTGTTTTACCTTTAAAATAATTTAATATGTTGTTTTATTCATAAGCACTTTCTATGACTTTTGCAGAAAACAACACGGGAACTAAATGCAAAATATTGCTTTAAGAACTATACATAATAATGAATAAAAAGCCTTATGCTCAGCCAGAAAAAAACCTTTAAAATAAAAAGGACTGAGAGATTTTATATATAAAGATAGATACATTAAAGAAAGCATGTGAAAATTATTCACCACATTTTAAAACAGTAAAACCTTTTGTCTAGCTGACAATAAGCATACTGTGCAGAGGCAAATAGCAGCAGTAAGAATGAATCAATACCAAAAACTGATTCAGTGGTGTTGCTTACAAGTCAACTCTTTATGGTGGGCCTGACTTTTTAGTGCATCTTTTAATCTGCTGTAAAAATGCACTGGGATTATATTGTATATTCAACAAATCCAGAGCAAATTTGTGACCTGCAGGATACTTCTGAGCATATAAGGTACATTTTTATGCCTCAGGAAATGAGCTGGATGAAAAAATATGAATTTATGAATGAGAAATAAATCTTGAATAAATCAGCCAATCAAATTTTATGATTTTTAAATGATGAAAAATCACAAAAAAATCATAATATTTGTGGAAGATATAATTGCAAATGAAGGGAAAAAAGAGAAGCACATGCATTTAACAGATGTGTCCCTAAAGTTAACATGGGTTCCCAGTCAAAATCAAGCTATCCTTTAGAAGTAAATTTTAATACTGACTTACTTTTTGGAAACATCTAAATTAATTAACTAATGAAACAGCTTTATTCCAGCTTTTGATTTGGTGTTTCATTTTGCACTTGGTCCAGACACAAGGATCAAATACCTAGCTGCCCAGAGCAAACCAAGTCCACCCCAACAAAAGATACTTTATTTGGGCTTGCTTTTTTCTAATCTGTAGAGCCATTCACAAACCTTGTAGCTCATTGTGGCCACTGTCAGGTAGACAGATTGTCACTCAGTGATTTTCTACAGTTGGACACACTTGACTAGTTATCAAAATCACATCTGAAGGGAGTTCCCAACCCTTATCCTTGTGCCCTTCTCCAGTGTCTGCCGTAGCTTCTCCACTCACCAAAAACCAAGTTAAAGGGCTCAGTTGCACTCTGCTAAACAAGGTGAAATAGAGCCATTCAGGATACTACCTCTGGAATAAGCAATGTAGTCAAAAAAGGCCACAACAGGCCAAAGAGAAAATTGTCTCCTTGTTAGATGCAGCACCATAAGCAGTTTCCTGTCACATGATTCCCCTACCCTGCCTGTCATGAATTCAACTGGGATAAATATAAACAAGCAGACAAAAATATAAATAAACAATAGGGAAAGGGTAAAAGAAAACAGAAATTGAAAGACAATTTTTAAAATCTAGTCATATTCATATACATCATGCCCGGCCATATTAATGCACAGTGCTGTACTGTAAGCACATGACTTTTACAGCTTGGAAAATTTCAAGGCCCAAACTTCATCATGGAGAAGAATGTGGCTTAGAAACATTCCTAAACTGTACATCTCAGATGAAAGGATAGTTTTAGAGCCTGCTACTGCTAGAGTTTTTGCTGTACTTGGCAGGCTGGTAGTTTCGGGGTGCTTCATCTTCTTGACCTGCTTGTTTTGATTAGAGATGTTCCGTGTATTGATTTGTTTTGTTTTCTACACCATGAAAAATGCAAAATTCATGTGTTTATCTAGAAATGTTACAGGGATTTGAAACTCTGTGCACTTCAACCTGATCACAAAACAGTCACACAAATTATCAAAGAAGTGGAATTTGTCTATTATGGATTATGTAACTTAAAATTACATGACTCATTTGTCCCATTTTATGAGGACACAATGTCAATTTTTCACATAGACATCAACAGGTGAAATATGATTCTATTTTTAAATTCACTATTTTATAAATCAACTAAAGGATTTTTATTAAATGTATTTTAAGCACTGTAACATGACTCCCTTTATATTTTTTTACAATTTCTCCCAGATAGCAGGCCTTTCCTGTCAGCAGAATTAAAATCATGAATTAATATCTGAACTAAGATTTTTTTTTCCCCTCTATTATGGGAAAAGTCTTTCTCTTTGGAAAGTAATCTCTTTTTGGACTGTTTGCTTATGTGATATGGTGTATCTCCCTTTCCCTTGTACTTCTGCATCCCAAATTTAAAGAAGAAAACAATGGTGCCAGAACGAAGGTTTGAGAGTAATATATAAAAGTCAACAAGGAAAACCAAAATTACTGGTAAAACATACTCAATTACAACCTCTCTCATTCAGCCTTTATCTGAGCATTTTCTATTGAAAATAAATACTCTGCTCTAAATAACATCAGTGTAAACAATATGGCTTTTAACATCAATGAATTTTTAAAAATGTAATTTATGTAGGCATAGATATGCCATTAAAGTTTAGTGCAATCAGAAAATTAAAAAAAAAAAAAGGTGGAGCTGTAAGCTGTAACACAGCGAATTTGAGAAGTGTGCAAGTCAGTGCAAACCTCAGAACACAGTACCACTAACATCTTAAAAAAGCCCTTTAGCAAAATTTAGTAACAGACAAGATACAATCTTTGGCATAAACGCTCAGAAACAACTCTTTGCAGGCAGGATCGTTTTAATCTTTTTTCACCATATACAGTATCTTTATGCTGGAAAGTATGAAATGTGTAATTATTATGTATTACTTTGCTATTTGTTAATTTTGTGCTAGTGCAGCTATACCAAACAAATCAATGTCACTAAAAATACCAATTTCAGCCATGATGAGCTTACATCATTATTAAAACTTAGTGACCTATGACTTCCTTAAGTACCAATCATCCAGGAGGGTTTCTAAATCTTGCCAGCCCCTGTGGTATTAGGTGGTATGCAAACATTAGGTAATAACAGTAGTTTTCAACATAATAATAGTAGTTCTCAATGTAATAGTTTTCTCCTGTGTGACCAGCGTGCACAGAAAGAGAAACCACTGCCTAAAGTTTTTTCACTGTAAAAAGCTAAGCTTTAAGGACACTATTCCCCCCATCCCCATCAATCTTCAGCCATCAGTGTACCTGTGATAAGACCTTATAATTATGGCAGACACTGACAAATGGAACTCCCAGCCTCTAATCTACAAAATTACAGTTTCTCTCTCAGACTAAAGCACCCAATTAACATCTCTTCCTTTCACGTGGTAATGCTTCAAGGTAAGCAAGATTTATTCTACACTAAAACTCCTACCATTCTCTAGGTTGCTGCTTCTGGAGGTTGAGGATTGTGATGATGAAAGGAAAAGCAGGCTTACTAAGTCAAGAGTTGGAAAGAATCATGAACCTCAGTTACAATACATATACTACTAAAAACAATGCGGAAGGGCTTTTTCCATTGTAATACATGAGCCAGAAATGGGGCAGTACTTTCTGTCTCCTACTGAAGTTCAAGGGGGTAAGCTTAAAAAAGAGCCTCAAAGTATTTGAGGTAAATTCCAAATCTTTTGAAATCTCACCTGACTGGCAAATGACTAATGAGACAAAACTGTTCAGATCTATTGGATGGATCATATTAATCAATCAGGGTGGATACCACATGGCACAAGAGAGGTCAGAGCCAGAGAAGTATCTTTTGACCTATGTAACTATCTTTTTGGATTGTGAGTGAGGACCTGAAAGAGATAATTTTCCTACACTTGATCAACCTGAATTTTCAAGTTCAGTTTTCTATTTGGATGGTTGGCAGAAAGACCAGAATTAATTCCTTGAGGAAATGCAACTCAAAGCATTCTGCTCTTAAACCTGCCTGTGGTAAAAACAGACACAGCAGTGTCCATTCATCTTTCTGAAAGAAGTATGCTCTGTTCATTTCCCATCTTTACTGTGAGAAGGGTACATCTATGTCACTATTGCGACACTGTAGGTGCAACAGCAGGATGAGGTCATGACAGCCAATCAGAAGTCACTAGTGAAGCGTTAAAGTAAACATAGCTGTTGGAGATGCAGCTCAGCTTGAAAAATGCCCCCTCCATTATTTGAGCAATTTTCTCAAGACGTGACCTGTGACTGAAACGCCTGAAATGTCAGTTGATTCTGCTTTCTGTTTCCACCCAATGTACATTTTGGCAAATGCACCCTGCTAACACTGCGGTATTTCCATCCCAGATATACCTCAGCTGCCTGAATTCCAGCACTGCGTCCAAGTGCGTAAAAATGCCATGCTTCTGCCAAACACACTTTGTCCCGCTAAGTTCCAAACTTGAAACAGCACATCAGGTTAGGCAGGAAAAGAAAACGTACCACAAAAAGATTTTAGAGGACCACCTGTTGTCTATTATTTTTACATAGCACTTACTCATAAATCATAACACAGGGTAATTAATCAAGCTGTCAAAGAGAAGGTCAAAGGTTATGTGGGCGAGTCAGAAGGTCATGCATGGGCTGATAGAGGTCAGGGTCACACTGCATTCCTCATTATCAAGTTGGGATGAGAGACGGCCCAAGCAAACAAAAGTGAAAGCAGATGGAGAACTGAGTGGATAAAAAAGAGGAGAAAATTTCACAAACAAAAAGAAAGAAGTGGAAGAATGTGAGTTACCTTCAAACAAGGAGGAGGACAGAGCAGAAATACACTGAGATGTTCTCAAAAGACCGCACATAATACAAAGAAACTACAGCTTGATTATTTAAATACACTTACTATAACTTTCCATCAAATTTTTTTGCAATTATTAAGCAACACCACAAAATGTGTG